ATTTAAGTTTCCAACGATTTTTCGTTTTTGAGCTAGGCTGTTTATATAAACACAGACCATTTTTCGGGACTTGGTTATTTGGACTCAGGGGACCTCAAAACGTGTATTTTCGTTGAAAACTCAGATTAAAAAATTTTCACGTTTGCAATACTTACCTTTACTATATATTAAATATATAAGTAAGTGAACGTAAAACTATGTAGCGACTTATAAAATTATCAATTTCAAAAATAAAATTAAAATTAAAATGATCAGGCAATTAGATATCGGATGTTAAAAAAAGCATTATTGTTATTTTCTATTTAAAAAACACTAACATTACCTAAACATATATTAAATAATTTTAACAACCGGATTCGAACCCAATCTCTCGGAGTTACGAAACCCCGTTTTGGGTATGGAACAGGATCTTCAACTTCTTACTGGTATACTAAATGATAAAATATATATTTTTTTAATATTGCACTTACACGTTGTTACGACTGAAGAATCCATCCAAACTTATCGGAAACTATGGAAGATTAAAAAAAAATAACTAAGCTGGGTTAAAGCACGATAGAAGTTAACACACCAACAAGGTAAGATTAATTATATTATAACTCCATGCTTCAATTCATTTTAATTTTCTTGAAGACGTTTTAGGCAATTTTACCCATTTTCAAATCGAAAGATTTATACCATTAGCATATCATCCATGTAATATTATTTTTTATATAATTATTGTAAAAAAATTTTCTTCTCTTCACATTCTTCTAATTATAAATTTCAGAACTTATTTATGAAAAGTCAATTTATTTTATAAATTACCTATGGACCGTCAAAAAATTAAACATTTTTTTGTTTATATAATTTTACATCAAATGTAACACATGTTAGTCCTTTTAATAGTGTACATAAGGTTGTTGTATTAAAATGACAAAAAATGTGTAACATTTGAAGTAAATTTATTTTTTTTAAAAGTTTAATTTTTTGACGGTCCACAGATAAGTTATAAAATATATTTACTTTTCATAAATAAGTTATGAAATTTATAATTAGAAGAATGTGGGAAGAAAAAAAAATTACAATACTTAAATAAAAAATAATATTACATAAATGATATGATAATGGTATAAATATTTCAACTTGATAAAGGCAAAATTGCCTGAAACTTCGTCGAGAAAAATAAAAATGAAATGAAGCACAGAGTGGACGCATAAGGGTTAAATAAAGTGATTTTCCTCGAAATTATAAATTATAAATAAAATAGCTCATTATAAAGAGGATGAAATGCTAGACATTTCTCTCGCTTACAGTATGCACGTTCGATTTTTGAGATATTTTAATCCATATCGTCAATAAAACTCGTTATATTTTTTTTTCGACACTACTTTTCCCTTTTCGGCTCTCTAACACAGCGTTAAGATACAATTTTGAATAATAGCTCATTACAAAGAGGATGAAATGGTGAACATTTATCTCTCTCTAACAATATGCAGGTCCGATTTTTAGTTTTTGAGATATTTTAATCCATATTCAAAAACACTTCAATTAGACAACTCCTGTTGAACACTTTCCTCACTTACAATATGCAGGTCCGATTTTTAGTTTTTAAGATATTTTAATGCATATCATCAATAACATTCGTCATAATTTGGTTTTCGACACTATTTTTTCCATTTTTCCCTCTCTAACACGGCGTCGCGTAATGATACAATTTTGAATAATAGCTCATTACAAAGAGGATGAAATGATGAATATTTTCCTTGCTGGCGTTATGCTAAGTTTTTGAGATATTTTAATCCATATTCAAAAAAAACACTTCAATTAGACAACTCCAGTCGGCTTCACACATCGGAAATCTGACGGCTCAATCTAATTCACTCTCCACAGAAAATGTCCAAAACCCACCCAAAGAAGTTTTCACTTAAAAAATCTATTATAAAAGAAATCTAACAGATTTAATGGTATGTTTTTTAATAAATACATAAATAAGATAATTTAATTATCAGATATGAGATGGACCACGGTGTAGTGAATGATTATATTAAGTTTTTATTGAAAGGCGTTTCCAAAAATGGAACAATTGTTTTACAAAACAATTTATATAAAATTACTCCTGTATAACATGATCGCAAAAGGCACCTTGTCGTGATCCTTGGATCACAATGCAATTTCCCTTACGCCAGCTTGCGTGTCCTGAGACGAACAAGAACATAATCCACTTCAAGAATAAAAGCGAGAAGAAATATGAAGAAGTTTGGCATTTTCCATCAGTCGATCATGAGATGGGAGGTGTCAGCTATAACGAGGCAGCACGTCAAGGAGGACTATAAAGGAGCCATACCCGGGGAGGAACTCCCAGTCGAGACAATACCCCGGCCATGGACAACAACTTCTTTTACTACCACAACTACCGCCTAGCGGATGACATTATCTCTGAAGGTATACATTAATATATTATCGTATCAACTCCAATAATATATAAGTAATGGATTCATATTGAAACCTAGACAAGAAGCGCACTACGGAAAATAAATCAGTCGAGTCGGAGTCGAAATGTTTGGAGCAGAAATGGTTGGGAAACATTGGTCGTCTACGCATGAAGCGCCAGGAAAATATAATGATAGTTAAGTAAATATATATTCGTTATTGTAAAAACGCTGCGATATCGTAGAACGATTGCCTGTTATCGTAAATTAGATTGATCATAATAAAATAACATTATGCTGTCATTAATACATAAAAACTTCTCACTCAAGCTTAAAACACTTTGAACAGCCTACTAAGCGAATAATAATTAGTCGGCAAGGTTACCTAATAAAATGTAATGAAGTCCGTTTTAATTGACATACATACCTTTTTTTTTTTTTTTTTTAGATTCTTGAGTAATATGATATAAATTATTTAATCATAAAATGTGAGCTTATAAATAAAATTCAATGACTTAAGTTTATAAATTAATCACTTTCTAGCATCACTTACTAGACAAACGCTCTAAGCTTCCAGTTAATTACAAAAGACTTATATACATGACTACAATAAGACCTATTTGGACTTACGGAGTTGAGCCATCGAATTCCTCTCGTATCCAATCCTTACAATCCAAAATCCTTCGGAAAATCCTCAATGCTCCTTACTATGTCACCAATAAAATAATCCATAATGACCTTAATGTTCCTTATGTTTCCGATTTGGCCCAATCCAGATACCAATCCTTCCATAATAAACTTCAGAACCATCCGAATCCTCTCGCCTCTAACCTTGCTTCCTCTTCTATTCCTGATAACCCTCCGAGGCGTCTGAAAAGAAGATGGCCTCGAGATCTCTTATTGTAAATACATTTTGTTTTTAGAGTGCTACCAGTGGGTAATTTCTCAACAAGTCATTTCATGTTATTATTTTCTGTTATCAAATTTACTTAATGTATTTTATTTTTTAATACAGTTGTAAATGACATGAATAAATAAAAAAAAAAGTTCTAATCTAGTCTTTTTCTTTTTATTATAAACTATAGAATATGAACTGTTAGTATTTTATTACACACCACCATGATTACACATCGGCAAACATCACCTCTGTTGTGCATTGCTTTAAAAAATAAATAAAAAATGTACGAATAAAAAAGTTGAAAAAAAAAACTATGTAATCTGCAGCAGGGGTTCTCAAACTGGATGTCACCCCAGGTACTGTAAACATACGCCAGGGTTGCCTTGATAATAATATTTATTATCAAAATTTTCATTTATGTAAATAGATATTCTAAAACGCTTCAAATTATTTCACAATGGTTTATTATTTCCTCAGAATTGTGCATCTAAAGTAACATTACCTTCCTAGTGACAAAGAAAAAATAATAAAAAGTGATTCCAATTATTGGACTAAACCTTTTTTTTTTTTAATCATTATTAATATGCTAAAAAAATTAGCATTACTTTAGTAACACATTCAAAAACCAAAACAAAAGATATAACCTTTGCAGTATAACATATAAAAACCATCTAGAGACCATATCTTTGCTCTTAATCGTCCGATTTTAACAATGTTTTTTTTTTTTAGGAAATTAAATTAAACTTTTAAATAACATTGAGTTATTCGGAATCTAATTTCATCATCCCTCGTATCTTTTTTTCTAGTTTCTTTTTGTTGAAGTATGTTATATAGACTATTACTTTGCTTAAAGAGCATCGAGAAGAAGACTTTAGTGAATTTTCATTGAAAACGGTACATTCGTTTAGGTGCTACAGTCTACAGCAACGCAGGTTTTTCAGTAGCCATTTTGAAAGGAAAAGGCGGATAGAAATGTCGATGAAGGAGGATCATCCTCAGGTGACCACTACTTTTAAATCCAAATTTGAAAAAAAAATCGGTCCGGTAGTGTCGGAGAAAATTCGCGGACAGCGGACGGCGGACGAACAAAAAAAAATGTATTCGTTTTTCAAATTCTACGTATCCTAAAACCTCAAATCTTGAGAGAGGGTTAAGTTTTTTAATTTTTTGTTCGATCACAATGGTTCATTATTGAAAATAATAAACAAAAAATTTATAAAGTTAATCAAATTTAAGGTAATATTTGGGCAAAACTTAATTGGGCTAATATAAATTACACCAAATATCGGTAAATATTGTATTATATAAAGGCTTTAAGAACAAATGTACTACGATGCTTTGTGACCGACTGCTTCGTAACAATATTTAATTTTCAACATTTAATGTTAACATTTTCAAAATAGCTAAATAGATATTCTGAAATTCAGAAAATTAATCAAATTTTAGATAAAATGTCGGCAAAATTTTATTCGGTTTATACAAATTTCACAAGAAATTATAGAACCGCTTTAAGGATAAATGTGCTCCGAGTTGTAAGAAGGTGGCACGATAATTTTTTAGACCAACTGGAGTTCCATGGCCAAAAAAGTTTGAGAACCGCTGCTCTATAGCATGCATCAATAAAGCACATAGTGCTAATACACTTTGAATTAATTAAGTAATTAATGTTGTTGTTTTGCTTGTTTTTTTAGATCGAGTTCTCTATGCTCGCCAAAAGACCGGAAAAGCTCCCGTCACTGGTGGAACTCCCATTTCGGAAGAAACAGCAATTGTAAAGTTTTCTTTTATTTTTATTGTATTTTATATGATTTTGGGAATCACTCAGATTTTACCGCACCAAGATTTTGAATTTTAATTAACAATTAATGAGTGAACAATGTCTTTCTTTCTTATTTATTATTTATAGCTTTTAATCAAACTTTTTACCACGGTTTCATTATTCGCATTTTCTTCTCTATTTTAATGTACATACATATATATATATATATATATATATATATATATATATATATATATATGTCTTGGATATAATAATAGCAAAGCGCTAATTTTTTTCCGTGATGAGAATGGTTTAAGTTAAGCTTAAATGTTTTTATTTTAGTATCACAACCTTGACTTAAAGTTTCATTTGCAGAGCTTGCGGACGGTTGTTTTCGGTACAGCTTCTGCGCCGTTGAGGACCGAATGGACGAGGACAGGACTAGGAGTCGGATCTGACAGCGACTACCAGCTGAGAGGTCCCAGGAACACAACCAGGGGGTTGCTCACAGTTCTCCAGGCGGAACTCATCAAGTTCTTGCTCTTTGACAGATCCAACCCAAAGGGAGAGCCTCCAGACAAGTGAGCCTATTTTATTAATAGACTATCAATTTTGATTTTTAGAACACTGATATACATTGACAGAAGAAGCTTCCAAAACGGAAGAATAGAGATGGATTCTGAAGATCATTTCTTATAACATATAAAAAAAATATAACCCGACTAAAACCTGTAAACAAATATATATATATATTTTTTTAAATACATAATATGTTAAGAAATATTTTTCTTTCTCAGACTTCTGAATGCTACGCATTCAAGACTTCAGGAGGGGCTACTCCATGCTATTTGCACGATTATTTGGAGAGCAGCTGAGAAGACTTCTGCAGTTCTATGTCTACCACAAGAAAAAATCTATCTATATCAATCTATGGAATATTTTCAAGATGGTATAACAGAAAAGGTAATTATTTCTACCTAATATTTTTTTCTTAAATTCAGCATTTATGATATTCCATTCATCATTACATATACCCTTGATGAGCTAATAATCCTCCCTAATTTTTAAACGGTAGGAATACTTTTTTCGCTTGCTTTCGCTCTAGACTTTTAATATGAGAAAGAATTATAATTAAATAATTACATAGATGTAACAATTATTAATGATATTACTAAGGTTGTATTCTGATTAAAATACCGATTAAGGGAGAAAAAATGTCTTCATCAGAAAGTTCTACGAATTTAGGACAAACTCACGAGTTCGACTAAGTAGAAACTTTTTCTTTCTGTACCATCCGATTTTATTTACAAATATAGGTGTTTATAAACATATTTTAAAGAATTATATTGTAATTGTAAATGTTTTATAAACAAAATAGGAGAGTAAAAAATAAATAAATAAAGTGAGTTAAAAACATAGAAGCAATAAGTTACATGTTTTTAAAAAATAACTTGTTAAATACTGTTAGTTTTTTGTATACAAAGCGAATAGTCCGTGGTACAGACCCCTTTTTATCAAATTATTAACATCCGGCTGAAACTTCGTGAATAGCTCCATCTCATCGTAACCTACAAATATTTTATTAACGAAAATTCACGGAATTGGGGCGTTTTCGAAATGGAGGTCGACAAACTTTGTCTATTTAATTAGGTACTAAAAATTCGTCAATTCCCATTTGCTTTCAACTTTAATCGTAAGATAACTTGAGTACCAAGTCGAGCAAAAAGGTGGCCTTAAAAATATTGAGCCATTTGGCGTGACCTACACCCCAAATTGCCAAAATAACGAATTATGCCAAACGGCTCAATATTTTTAAAGGCCAATTTTTTCTCGACTTGGTACTCAAGTTATCTTACGATTAAAGTGGAAAGCAAATGGGTATTAAAGAGTTTTTTTGTATCTAATTAAATAGACAAAGTTTGCCGACCTCCAGAATGAAAAAGTTCCAATTCCGAGAATTTTCGTAAATAAAATATTTGTAGCTTACGATGAGATGAAGTTATTTACGAAGTTTCAGCCGGATGTTAATAATTTGATAAAAGGGGGTCTGTACCATGGATTATAAACCACATTATGCGATTGTAATGGAAACAATTTGTTTTAGTTACATACATTCGAAGTAAAGAACTATGATGATCTGGAGATAATGGTGAAAAGATATGCCCACTTGGTAATATGAAATGATTTGTTTTCATAAATTATTATTAATTCACCTGAATTATTATTATTATGAATTATTGTTAATTATTAATGTACTAATTTGTGAATGAATTATCGTTAGTTTTTAGAAGATCCTGGGCCAGGGGCATTGCTACTTCTTTACACTTGCATCTTGTCTCGGGGAGCACAGAAGTAAGCAATCTTCAGTAGATTATGATTATATTAAAATATGAAAGTACTTAAGTAGTTAAATATAAATGTAATTAGTTAAATTAAATGAAATACAAAATGTGTCCAATAAGCATGTTAAAAGTCAAATCAATACGATTTTTTTTTATATATTGTTACCATTCTCTCGTTACCAGCTCTGTCTCGATTGTTACTCAATCTGGACAAAGACGGATTAAGTAATTGTTTGGGGAGAAAGGTTCTCGTACAATTCGGAAGAAGTTGTAATAAATCGATAAGCTATTTTACAACTCAAACTATTTTAAAATCGTCTATTGTAGGTATAGATCAGCGTTGCCCAAAATAAAGCACTTTGCAAGACCAAGACTGGTAAAAAAAAAAACCGTTTTGTGAATAAACATTAAGGCAAGATAGTTACTAATACTTGACAATTTCAGTTACTATATAGCTTTTTCTTAACTCTTCCAATTCTCTCTAGTAATAGGCTAATAGGTAACTGCAAGACTGTTGCGAGACTCTTGCTCAAGTCCAAGACTACCTTGTTTTTTATTTGTCTCTGTATAATGAATAAAAATTTGAGTCATTCGCAAGTACTGGTACTGCTGGCTATATTTTAAATCAGGCGTTGAAACGGGAAAAAAAGATTATTTTGAATGAGTTTCGGTTTCATCACAATTTTTACTATCGATAGTTTTTCAGTTCTTTTGGAAATAGAACTTTTCCCCAAGAAATTTATCAAGTAAAGGTTCCACAAATTTTCATTTAAAAGTTCTGGCGATTTTGCTAAAAAGTCCATTTAAAAAAGTACGTTTACTAATAGCTATTCAAACAAACGACACATTAAACTCACGTGTAAATCATGTAAGACAAATTATAACTCAAATCTAAGCCCAATTACTGTTAATTTTTGATTTAAAGGAATATGTTTCAAGAACATGAGTAAATAAAAGTTAAACCTTAACCATAAACCTGGAACTTTATTACAAAAAAGTTCCTTAGAACTTTTATTTTAAAAACGTTTTACTTGAAACTTTTCATAGAAACTGTTCAATTGGAACTATTTAGAAAATGTCCATTATAGTTTCAACCATTGTTTTATTTTTTTTTTATTGGCTATTTTGGGAGGACATTTTTTTCAGGAGGGCGATTTTCCTCACCTAGTATTCAAGGAAAATTACTTGTACTACGAAGCTTTCGTGTACGGTTAGGAATTAATGGAGAGTTAATAATTATTCAATGAAAAGCGACAGGAAAACCAATCGGAAGAACCAATAATTGTAAAAAGGTAAACGGTAGAAAAATCATGCGATACTTCTTCCAAAAATCCGCATCGCCAAAAGGCAGAGGGAGATGACAATAAAAAAATTTAATAATATGATATCAGAATTTTCTGCCCATATTTGCAACTTAATATTCTTCCCATTTTAAAGTTAAATTAATAATAGCGATGTGTTAGGATTATGACAGACATGGACGGAACGCGAGCAATGCTGCTTGGCCCAGAAGACGAAGGTTCTCTGTGCGTGGTAACGCTGATGCTGACTGGGAGAGCCACTCCGTACCTTCACAATGGAGTCATATACGTCGGTGATGAGGACCACTATGTAAGATCATAATTACTTTATATTTATTATTCTAAATCGTTGGAAGTAAATAATTTAAGTTTCCAACAGACATAAAACCTGTACAGGCATTCATTGATTGAATGAATATGAATAGATTGATGGTAATGCTTAAGAGCGTAATGTGAAATATAATTAAACTAATAATTTATTAGGCAGGTTACCAATTGAAAATAGCTTATGAACAGTCCCAAAAATAGTTATTGAGGCTAAAATTCTCATGACCATTTACATACTGTAGGTACTAATTCATAAAAACTAATTTCAGGCGGTTCCAAGATTCGGAATTCTGAGCCGAAACGAGATTGGACTTCTTGTTCACTGTGATAGCTTGCAAGAAGACATCGAATCCAATGTGCCAGGGTCGCGTCTCAAAACACCTTCCCTTCCCGTCTGGGTTATCTTCTTGAGCGGCCATTTCGGAGTAATGTACAACACCAACAGGGAGCTTCTCCATAATTATCATGCCGAAAGAAGGTAATATCAATACCATATGAATTGCCATCTTAATAAATAAAAAAAAGAAGTATATTCTGACTAATGTAGAGATGGTTGTCCGTGATTATAATAAGAGGAGTTGGTCGGGAGGAGGGGAGGGTGAGAAGGAGGGGGTTTGGTCAAATAATTACGATCTATTAAAAGCTTCATGGGCGTTAACAATAAAATACTATTTTAATAGATAGTATTTATTTGACCGTATCCCCCCGACCAACTCCTTTTCATATATTCAGACTAGTTGGGCCGTGCCAATAATTCTCATGGTATATTGTTAGTGAACAAATGAAAAAATAGTAAGGTAAGGCAACGTTTCACAAGATGGACAAATAAATTCTTATTTTCTCGGTTTTTTGTAATCAGCCAAGCAAATGATATTTTTTTTAAAATTCATTCATTAGTTAATCAAACGCGATTAATTATTAAAATAAGCTGCATCTTTGCTAATAATGGTCTGAATCGAATGATGATTTTTTTTTTATTTCGTAAGAAATTTAGTAATTTTTAAAATAATTATGGGTGCAATAAATAAAAAAAACATGTAATTCTTGAGTTGAAATTTCAGGGATTTGTGACTATTTTTCCCTGCTGAAAGAGAAGAATATCTTCAAAATAAAAACTCAATAATTAGATTTGATGATGAATTGAAGAAGATAAGACGTACCGAAAAAAAAAACACATTTGAAAAAAATATATATAAAAATTAAAGCCGTTATTCATAACTATATTTTGCAACCAATGATAAAATCAATAAATACAAAAACATTGACATTATTACTGCTAAATTAGTATCCAGGAGCCTTTTTAGTATAGAAAGAACAGTCAAGACAAGAAAAATCTTAACATCTTCCCCTCTCATACACTTCTTTCACGAATTCATGTTTCAAATTATTATTTTTATTTTGTTTGGGTACTCCTCTTCCTCGCCTCCAAGGCTATACGGTTTTTTTCCCGGGTCAGAGGGTATGGGCGGGGATTTAAAAGAATCCCCCGTCATTGGGACGCGAACTCTTGACTATTTTAAATCCATTGTCTCATAGATCAGGTTTTCGGCCAACGGCGATGCTGTGCACATACGTTATCCCGTCCGGCCACCCCACCCACATGTTTCAAATTATTATTATTATAATGGCACTACGGTCCTGAAAGAACTTGGGCCTTCTCCACTCCACTACAGCAGATCAATCTGCGCGGTCCTGTGCTATCTCCCTTTATCTTCTAACACTAAGTAGCTTTTGGTCGTCCTCCACATCTTCCAGCCATCTGATCCGAGGGCGCCATCTACTCCTTTTGCCATCCGGCTCCTCAGCAGCATCCTCTTTGGTATTCTTTCCACATGACATATCCATCGTATCCGGGCTCTTTTTATCAATGACACGATATCGGGTTCACCGTACACTCCACGCAGCTCCTCATTACTTCTTCTTCTCCAAATTCCATTCTCAGAGATTCTATCCTATATCCTTCTCAATACAACTTTTCTCTTCCTGTAGTATAGTATGCGTTCTGAGTTTTTGGTTAAGGTCCAAGTCTCACTCCCATACATAGCCACTGGACTTACTATAGTTTGTAGATAAGGATTTTGATTCTTTTAGAGAGTGATCGAAATTTCATGTCTCTTTGCAGTGAGAAATAGCATCAACTCCTGCTACTATCCTGGCCTTTATTTCACTCTCTTTTTGTTATTATATGCAACGAGGCTTTCCAGGTACTTCAACCGGTTAGCAGAGCTAAAGTTGTGATCTCTAAAAGGTATTTCCGAATCCACTTATTTTTTCCTTTATCCCTTCGACTTTTCATGTACACCGTCTTATATTCATTAATACTAAGGCCCAGTTTAGCTTATGCTTCTTCGAATTCTTAGAAAGTTTCTGATAACCTCGGAAAGAATATGAACCTAGTCCTTTCCATTAAAGGAACACATAAAAAATGGACAATAGCCATTATTTAATTTTATATCCCTACTTATTTTATGTCAATGAATAAGCTCTTAATGCCACTCTTAAAATAGTTTTCAATGTATATTTTTTTTATTTTATGAAATTCCTCTAGTATTCCACTTTTTAATGTTGCAGATTTGATTTGATCTACTTGACATGTAGTGGTTTGTACTACCACCTGACCGTGGACACCAGGCAAGCTGGATACACAACTAGGATCAACTACGAAGAGACTACAGTATCAAGCATTTCGGGAATCGAGAAAGTAATACAAACTAAGTGAGTAATATAAACAGCAAATTTGATTCCAGTCAACATTAAACGATTATTTGAAATATATTATTGTAGGATAAAAATGCAAAAGACGTATCTTGAATTATTCATGTTTTCATTCTTTTTCAGGTGGCCCGATGCTCAAGTTTTTTGGAACAACGCAACTGCGAAAGCAAGTTAATGTGATATTAGTTAATTATGTAATGCTCGCACAAAAAAAGATGTTCTAAAAAATATAGTTTCCTCAGAAATAGTAAGTCAGCTTGAGTATTTTTCCTTTTCCTTTTTAACCTTTTCCCATATGATAAAATAATTAATAAATGAGAGAAAACCAAAAGGAAAGAGACAAATAATATTATGACCGAAATATTAAAGTGCAAGATAGCGAAATAAAGCATCGAATCTCTCAAATGAGCCTTTCAGTTGACAGAATGACTAACTCCAATTTCAACATTTTTTATTATAAATTTTAGTGACATTTCTAGGGGGAAAATGTAAACCTTCATTCAAATTTCTATATTTCAACACTGCAATCAACTTACTGTCTGTACAGATATTATAAATTTTCGAACAAGAAATATCACTGAAATGACTTTACTCAAAAATTTAGAAATCGGAGTTAGTCATTCTGTCAACTGAAAGGCTCATATAAACAAACAACTAATTGCTTAACGTTTTGCTAATTTAGACATCATCGAGAATTTTAAAAAATAAGACCATAGAAATTAATTCAGCTCAATGACAGCATATCTCAGATCAACAATCTAAATAATGAAAGAAAAATATTAAATCACTTTAAAATAATTCAACATAGACTCTTCAGTTCTAAAGATGCCTGAATTGACGAAACTGGTTAGATACTGCTATACAAAAAAAAAAGTCTGCCAAGTAAGGTCAGTATAGCTTCCTCACCGTTTACATTGCCTAAAATATTAAAATATTACAAAGTATACAATTTTTCGTGAGAATAAAATCTTTGGGAGAAGCCGATTCGGAAATACAGTTACCCTTCAACATTCGTGGGTTTGATATCCACGAATTTCGTTTATCAGTTAATATTGAAATGCGAAAGAGTGCCGTATTTGAAGGTTCCATATTTGATTATCCTTAATTAAAAAACAAATAAAAGAATGCATACTGAACATGCATTTCACTACTGTTAGTGCAAAAGGTCTTATGTAAAAATTGATTGTTTTGCTAGATTGCATAAAAACGATTATTATTTTTTTTTATAAGCTTATTTATTGAAATATATTACAATCTGTCTCAAGGACATTTATAATAGTGTTCACAAATCACATTCACACTCTATGTACAGTAAATAAAATAAATTATACAGAAAAATAATATATATACAATAAATAAGAATAAAATAACCTAAAAATAAATAAGTAAAAAGAACACATGCACACCTATATACAATATTTACAACTTGGCGAGAGAACTCCAAACCAGACTTGTCCCTCCAACTGTGGAGGGAAAAGTATGACTCCAGGAGTTCCCTGCACTCCTCTCTCAACCGCGTCACTAGTGCTAAAACCAGTGGAGAAAACGATTATTATTAAAAAAAAAACGATTATATTATTATTATTTCTTTATGATTTATTAGTATAATTTATTGTCATCTGCTATTTCCCATAGTAGCAGACAACTTATATCAGTTGCAGACTACAAAATGTCACCTTTAGTACTAATAGAGTAAAATTGAAAATTTTTACATTTTTGCACTAACAGTAGTGATATATACTTTCACTTGTAACATGGATGGAACTAGAAAATCCAACGAAAAAATTCAACTTGTTGTTTGTTCGGAGTTAATGAAACTAATACTTTCCTTCAGGCAGAACAAAACACTTTAAGCTAGAAAATATAAAAATATTGGTGAAGTTCACATAATTGTAATTATCACATGATTCTTAAGGAAGAAATCGAGACAAGACGAACTAGTTGAACTTCAATGGAAATAAACACAATCACAAATAAGACGTTTTTTTTTTTTTTTAACAAACTGAGAGTATAAACTACTTTAAATGTATTGAAAATCATACGAAATATAAGTAACGGCAGTAAGTGTTATGCCAGTGACGTTTGAAATCGACCAAACAATACAGTATCAATTCATTATTTAAATAAAACCTAAAATTTTATAACCCCATAACAATATTTTGAGTTGTAATAACCTAACTCCCACTACATATGATCAGTGCCTTCAACATTTCGCAGCCATTATATTGTTAACAATTATTTATATTAATTTTAATTATTAAATGGAATTCAATAAAATTGATACTAAGTAATTTCTATACTGTTCTCCAAATTTCCTCCAAGTTTGGGTCAAATCGAATGCACCGTTTTCTAACTATAAGCATATCAAATAACACATTTCCTGATCTGAAAGCGGGAGTATTTTTTTTTTAGTAGTAGATAGAATTTGATAAAATTGATGCCTATCACATTATACGTTTACCAATCTCTATATTCCCTCAAAATTTGAGCCAAATTGAACTTGCGGTTTTAAAGATATAGACGTATCAAGGAAAACACGTTTGCGCATATATAAGAGAAAGCAACGAATAGAATTCAATAAAATTGACCCTACATAATTTTTAAACAAATACCTATCTTTTATCCAATTTTGAGCCAAATCGAACGAGCCATTTCTGAAATATTGGGATCTCTACAAAAATGCGTTTGCGCGTGCGTAACCGGAAGTGCTGGTTAGAATTTAATAAAATTGATAGGAACCATCTAGACACCAACTCACACAATTACATATGCCCGTTACATCGATTTGACTACAGACAGACAGACACCGAACCAAATTTGATCCTTGACGTCTGAAACATGAAAAGTGGAAATTTTCTATTCTGAGCACACATTTTTTTGTTAACCTCTCGCACGGATACATTGCTTCCCTACATTCGGTGCTGAGGAAGCAATAGTTATATCAATTTAATATTTACATATTTAATAATTGATATAATTAAAAAATATCAATAAAAATATGATATGGTTGATTAGGAATTATTATCATCATATTGGTTCCACCATTTTTATTTACAAAATATGGTTCAAAGTTCATAACAAGCACACCGAAATCTTTTGTTCCTACAGCTTACATCAAGTATATTTTCGGAAAAACCTCAACCAATATAATGTGCCACAAAAAATGTAATAAATAATCGAAGTAATTATGAGTAAATAAAAACAATTGAGTGCACAAACTCAGTTGTCTGTAGTTTTTTTTTTTGCACTGAGAGTACTCTAGGTATGGGTCAATAAAAATCTAATATATGTATCCATACGATGCCTAGAAATTGTCATTTCTCAATCTTTGCCTTTTTATCTAAAATCAGTTTTGTATTGCAGTTTATTCTATTAAAGAGTTCCTTCATCACAATTTAAAGGAGAAATATTTGCGCTTGATGAAACAAAGATCAACAGTTACGGTACGATAGAGTGAAAACGTCTTACAGATTTGAATGAAACGTTAGGCTACGATTCAAAATAGCACATTGTTACTATCAATTGTTAAAATACCCAATAATATTACAGATGTTAATTCTGTTCACGTTTACATATAATTAGTAATATAATCAATAACTTTTAATGTAAGTTCAAGGTTTTTGCAACGAAATGTAGTTCCACCAAAGAAAAGCTCTTCCCTCTTCAATGTAAGTTGATGAATATTCATTTAGTTATTAATTACAGATACGTCTGGCCTAAAATGTTAAACGAAATCAACTCAAAAATACAAAAATATGCACCTCTAGAATACTTGGAGAGCTTCCGGTTAGTACATTACAAGAAGTATTGTCACTTTTCTACTTTAAGCACACCAGTGACGTTATCTTTTTCCCTTTTCGCCTCTCTAATACGGTATCGCGTTAAGATACAATTTTGAATAATAGTTCATTAAAAAGAAGATGAAATGCTGAGCATTTCCCCCGTTTACAGTATGAAGATCCAATTTTTAATTTCCGAGATATTTTAATCCATATGTTCAACCAACCTCGCACCCTTTTTCCCATTTCGCCTCTCTAACAAGCTTCACGTTAAGATACAAGCTTGATTAATAGCTTATTACCACTAGCGGATCCAGGATTTAATTTTTGGGGGGGGGGGCTTCAGCCCGAAAGCTTTTTTATTTTCATAAAAATAATGATAATTACTTTGGAAAAAAAGAAATAAACTAACTGCCTTCATGAAATGGTGTTTAAGTGATTCCTAAAGTCCTTTTAAATGTTATTACATGAACAATAATACTTTAAGAGATAATTTTTTTATATTTTTTTCCATAAAACATGGTTACATTTTATCATTTTGGGGAGGGAGGGGTTTCAGCCCGAAACCCCTTCCCCGTAGATCCGCCCGTGCTTATTACAAAGAAGATAAAATTCCGGACATTTCCTTTCCTTACAGGATGCAGGTCCAATTTTTAGAGATATTTTAATCCAAATGCCAAAATTCACTAGTGTGCTTAAAGTAGAAAAAATCCTAAGTACAACTTCTGAGTCAACAGGTGTGCCAGAAGGTGATTTGTTCGAGATCATGGCTTGATCCATATCAATATCACATGATAAATAATTACCTCCCTAATCAGGACTCGAGCCCAGGACCAAGTGCGAACAATAATACTACAATAATTATTCTTAACAAAAGTATTCTTCAATTAGTTCTTTATCCATGGTGTTTAATTCCTCCCCTCTCCCTTCCATGCATTGAATTCGGTTATGTTACACGAACATTCTTCTTAATCTTCTTCAACAAATACAAACCAGTCAGTGCTTGATTTTCTGGACCTTTAAAAGATCTCATTCCAAGTAATTATAACGAAAATAATAATGAAGCCATGAAACCATCTGTTTTGTAAAACTACAAAATTTTAATTCGTACTGAAAAGAGGCATGGAAATCAAGCCAGAAAGAACTCCCCAGGCGAGCTAATTCTACATGATCTATTTAATTAAAAAATCTTATCTGGCATTGCCCATGAATTTAAATTTAAGAAAACCTTTATTTGTTGAAAAATTAAGAAAATAATAGATTCTTACATATACGGCTTTTCATATTGGACAATTACTAAAAACAAAGCGAGTGTAAAAAAAGTAAATGAAATTGTAAAAACAAAATTACTTAAAGCATACCGAATTGTTATTAATGTTATAAATTATGTAATATATATTTTCATTTAGTGCCCATAAAAGACTGGTCTCGCGTAAGTTTCATAACTATAATTTTCGAGAGAGCATATCTCTTAGTGTTGCCCAAAATCCAAAATCAACGCCGCCTAACTGTTCCAAGACCAAGACTAGGACTGGTAAAAAAAAATAGATTTTTTAAATAAAAATAAAAGCAAAATAGTTACTAATACTTGACAATCTTAGTTACTATATGTAAATAATTGGTATAACCAATATACTTTTCCATTTAACTCCTCTAATTTTTCATGGGAGTTTAGCTAGGCTTCTCCTATCTAAAAAATTACAATAATATCTATAGTAATAAGCTAATAGGTAACTGCAGGACTGTTGCGAGACTCTTGCGCAAGACCAAGGCCATGACCAAGACTGAGTTTGCAAGACCAAGACTCGTCTCGGTCTCGCATTTCGGCAACACTAATCTCTTTACAGAGTTATAGAGTTGTTTTAAGGAACCATATTTCTGTGGAAGTTAAATATGGAAAAACTTTCAAACAAGAGAAAAACATGGGGCATACCGCAAGAAGTATAATTGTAAATAAATTATACTTTTTATATTGAATATTTAATGGTTGACCGTTGCATTATAAAGGAAGGAGATGGTCCGGGGTTGCGGTCATAAAAAGGCTAAATAGTGGTAAAACTATTTTATTGAAAGCCTATATGGATTGAAAGGCTTTCAATAAAATAGTTTTACCACTATTTAGCTTTTTTATGACCGCAACCCCGGACCATCTCCTGCCTTTATATTTTTTATAATTTCACTTCCATAGTTAACCGCGAAAAAATTAAATAATTGTTAAGTTCCCTCCCGACTAAATATGGGGAATAATGATAAACAATATTGTAATTTATTTTAATATTTAAAGTATAGAAGCTAAGGGAGGTTTAGGAACAGAACTTCGTACGCATTTAGAAAATTTACTGTATTGAAAATTTTTATTGTTCTTGAAAATTTAACATAAGGTCCATTAATTCAATCACTTGTTCGTAAGTAACTTAAGATAAAATTTAGCAATGAAGTTTTAAACTAAAACATAATAAATATGATAAATTAATGATCTTCGGCCGAAATGATGTTATTATCTAAGGCAACATTAACATGACAATTTCTCAAATAGGTTACTAAACTACAACAAAAAGGGTTATGAAACGAGGACCTTTGTCCCTTTCAATTGTAAAGAGTCAGGCGAGAGAGCAAGATTCACTTGCACAGGTGAGGAGAAGACAAATAAATTTCAATAATAGGCCACAGACCTATAATTGCTAATGAATCTGTTCGACTTCTAGATCGTGGAAGAACTGTACGACTAAATGTTTTTCAAGATATACTCAACTTTATGCAAAGTGAAGATTTACCTGGAACCAGTAACGAGGATAGGCACATGAAAGGAGATGTTTTTATTACGGAACAGAAATATGTTTGTATTATTTATTGCATTGATAAATTATAGTTAATATGTCTCTTTATACCTCTGTTTTATTAGGGTTCTATACTATTTCATAAGAATACACTTTTTATTTAATTTATTTTCTTTAATAATTATTTTTTTTCTTCTTTCGTCGGCCCAACAGAAGTCCTATACTGTCCCTATTGTTATAGTAAAATATAATGGAGATATAGATGTACATTATTATTATTACTTATTTATTTATTTAAAAAAATCTATTTTGGATTCTTCAATGAGTTTACACAATGCCTTAATGGTATGGTATCCCTTTCTAAATCAGCCAGCCTCTGGAAAACAATATTGATTTGGATGAGGGGATATTTCTTCAGGTATTTATCATATTTCTTACATTTTAAAATTATGTGTAATGGGTCCTCGATGGAGTTATATGTCGAACATTAATCATTTTTTCAACTTTAATTAATGTCAAGCCGCGATTTGTTCGACGATGGTTAATTCTTAATCTTGTAAGACTATTTCTTTTCTACTTAACTTAATACAAGTGTTAGAGAACCATGGGGCGTAGAGAGACGTTAAGATGAATAGTGAAATGATCTTTACCTTTCAAACTTGACTCCCACAAATGCATATCCTGCCATTCACTAATAAAGTGTTTTTTCTCCCACCTACAAATTTCCTGTGAAGGCGATTTCGCATTTTCCGCCCTTCCAGAACCCCGTCCGTTTTGCTCATCATATCATCTCGTTCATTCCCATATAAACCCACATGCCTGGAACCCATTGAAACTTAAATTTGTTATTTGTTGAACGATCTTCGATGTATGTTTTTGAGTGAATTGCATACGGAAGCGAAATCAGTTGGAATTACGAATTTTGTATTCTTATATTTTTTGTTGGCTATTTTGAAAGCTTCAAAATTAATCTTTTATAATACATCTACAACATACCAAGTAGAGCTCACATGTGGACATTGGCATATTGCAGATAGACGATAGCAGACTAATTATTTAAGAAAATAATTTTAAAAACGATTATGATATTATAAAATAGTATAGAACCAAAGAGCCTGAAACGTTATCATGTTCTTTTGTGAATAAAAAAACTAATAAATTAATTTTAATAAAAAGTATTTGTAATACTCAAAGTAAACAAGCATTATAAAAATTAAATATTCCAGCAAAATACTCAAGACCGACAAATGTATAACGAGATAATGAAGTTTTGTACCATATACAATAAGGCATGCAACCTTGTTGAAAATCAAAATCAATGCATGGCAGCCGAGGGAATGGCAAATATTGTAAGAGTCATTTTACAAGATTATTATAAAGTTGTAGCACAACTTAACACCGAGGTAAGAATTCATCTAGAATAGATACCGTCTATATCTTCATTACTCAAATATTTTGTTTTTTCAATTTATTCATTAAAATCATCCTTCAATTCATTTCGATTTTCGAAAAAGCAAATGAGATCCATTGCGTGGTCTTAATGTATCAGTACTGGTTTCATAGTTTCTTTTACTTAACAATGCGAGTTTCATAATTTTAATATTCTAATATTTTCTCAAACTTTTTTATCTACGAAGTGTTGTCATATTGATATTTTAAATAGATTCAGAATTATTATAGCGACTTACGCAGACGATAAAAAATCGTTAGCTATTCTAACAAGACATAAAAATCCAACACACGCCTCACATATATCATCTAGCAGAATTAAAGGATTGGTACAAACTCTGGAAAATTAGACTCAACCAAGACAAATCACAACACATCACTTTCACTCTTCGACATGAAACATGCCCTCCTATTTACCTTGACAATGCCGAAATTCCTCAAACAAATAAAATATCTTGGACTGACATTCGACAGAAGAACGACATGGGGCCCACATATCAACAAAAAAAGAAAAACTTCAATCCTCAGACTACGACTGTTATGCTCACTTCTCTCAAGACGCTCAAAATTAAACTTAAAACAAAAACTGAACACTTACTATTATCTACTTAAACCCATGTGGTCCTACGCTTCAAAAAATTACGTGACGGCCAAAACGACTCACATGAGAAAACTACAAAATTTTTAGACCAAAACATTCAGGACGATAACTAAAGCTCCATGGTACGTCACAAACATTAGATTACATAAAGACCTTCAAATGCCAACAGTTAACGATCACATAAGGGACGCACTACAAGCGATTTCACAATAACTTACAAGGACATACCAACATACTTATACAAAGGATGGCTACATTTAACATGTCCGAAAACACACTTAGGAGGCTCAAAAGGAACTGGATGAGGGATTTCCTCGCTTAAAAAGATGCGAAATTCAAGACAGGAAGGGATGCCGCTGGGCACTACTCTCCATCGATCAAGCCACTACCAGTTATGTACTTTTACCGACAGCAGACCCACTAATTGTCGTTGCTTATGACAGGCGTGGGTGAAGAAATAAAGTTTTAAAAAAAATAATAAAATAGCTCCATATATAATAGTTCGATTTCCATTTCTAAACCATATTAGTTAAATAATTTAGGATACAACCTAAATTTTGAGACCGTATTTGCATAACGGCCTTAAAAACAGTTTCCATTAATTGGGGGAAAGAAAATAAGACATATGCCTATTTTATGTTTGATTATATACTGAATTCAGAAAAATAACTAATGATGTTATTTACATAACAAAGCATACTAATAACGATAATATCTACAATACAAGAAAATAATAGAATAATTCTTTCCTGATTCCCTGATATATTATAAAACATGCATTTAAAAACTATATTTTTGCATTAAATAAATATACCGTTAGTGACATAGTTTAATTAAGTCATTGTTCTAGTAATTTTCATCATATCGCAATGATATAAGCTCAGAACAACCTTTTTAACATATATAACATATAACTCATCAATTTAGATCTCTAATATAGGAATTGATTTCTATTCATGAGAGACCATTACATGAATGGTAACAGACAGTTTAAAAGAAATTTTCAACTTAATTTTATTTAAACACTAGCTTTACTCGGCCACGCGCTGCTGTGGCTAATGACTAGCCTGACAAAATGGAAAAGAAAGAAAATAGAAAGCATATCTGAGTGGATTAATACCAAAGGACATCTGGAATTTTTAAAAAGTTGGAAAACAAATTTGTCTGTAAAATGGCTTCAATTTAAACTAATTCTTATGATTTTTTTTTATATGATTCGACTTGAACATTCGTAATCATCTGAGTGAATACGCCTTTATTCTTAACCATCAGAAACCGTCTGAGTTTAACTTATAAAACTAAAATTTACTTTATCTTCGCTTTCTGAAAATGACAGAAATCCGTCCTTTGATATCAAAAATTGTGTACTTTTTTAGTTATCGGCAAATAAAATATTGAATTCATCGTAACATTTTTTCAGCTTGTTTTGGGAAAGTATGTTGTACACATAAATCAAAAGGGTTTCAAGGAGAAGACTTTAGTCAAGTTTCGTTAAATTCGTTAAAACCGTTTTGGCGCTACAGTTTATAGGAACACATTTTTTTGTGACTTTGAAAAAAAAAATTTTATTGTTTATTTTTTTTTACATATAAAAAATTATCGAAAGACAAAAGTACTATGCCAGAAACCTTCCCAGGAGTGTACGGAACAACTTTCCAAAGTTTCATGGCGATCGAATGAATGGTTTAGTAATGCATAAAGGACAAACAGACAGACAGACAGACATTCATTTATATATATATATATATATATATATATATATATATATATATAGAGAGAGAGAGAGAGAGATTATCGAAAGACAGAAGTACTATGCCAGACACTAGCCGATCCAGAATTTAATTTTGGGGGGGGCTTCAGCCCGAAACCTTTTTTTTCATAAAAATATCGATAATTACTTTGGAAAAACAGAAAGAAACTAACTACCTATATGAAATGGTAATTAAGTGATTCCTTAAGTGATTTTAAATGTAATTACACGAACAATTATACTTTAAGAGGTATTTAAAAAAAAAAATTCCCATAAAACATTGTTATATTTTTCCATTTTGGGGAGGGCTTCAGCCCGAAAGCCCCCCCCCCCCCGTAGATCCGCCCGTGATGCCAGAAACCTTCCCAGGAGTGTACGGAACCACTTCCTAAAGTTTCATGGCGATCGGATGAATGGTTTAGCAATGCATAAAGGACAAACAGACAGACAGACAGACATACATTCATTTATATATATATATATATATATATATATATATATATAGAGAGAGAGAGAGAGAGATAGAGAGAGAGATAGAAGAAAACACGTTAATTTAAACACTACCGTATCTTCAACTCTTCAAAAGTTACAGCAATTATAATTTAATTTGGAGGTTTTACTTTTTGACATTAGCTATAAGCAAATATCGTAATTTTTTAATAATTTAGTTTAAGAAATTTCTCCACCTTATCATTTCTACAGGGATATTTAGTTTAATATTCATTTTGTAAATAAAATAACAATAAAAATCCAAGCTTACTTTCATCAATTATGATTAAAGGAAGCTAATTTGAGTGTTGTGCTCCAGGATAATCTAAGAACAAGTTCTGAAGTTCATGACATAAGCTTAAGAAGTGCATTAGTATGGTCAAGAAAAGCAGTTATCATTCTTCAACATATAACTTTCATTTTAGAAAGTACGAAGGACCAGCAAGGAAGTCTAATATTAAATCCTTTAATCAAGTTATTACCATTCAGCAATCCAGAATTAAAAAACATTACTACTCGAGTATTTGAGGGTGTAAGTATTATAATATTTGTTTTCAATTTAAGTTCTGATTTCTAATTGATAGTATCAAGGTACCTACACACAGAACGCGATACGACCCTACGATACGATATCCTTTGTCGGTATCTCTGGGGATTATCTTGCTCTGTATGACTGTTATAATGCAATAGACAATAATGCAATTATATAGCCACCGACAGTTATATCGTAAAGCAGAGCAATTTTGCAATCTGTGTGGAGGAGCCTTTAATGATCACTGGCGAGGCTGATAACATTTATAATAAACTGGTGATTTAGATACTTACCAGATAAGAAGGGTGGTGAACAAATAGCACTTAAAACAAACCGAACAGTTTCACCTTCGGGAAACTAACGCACACTGATCAGAGGGAGCTAGAAATATTTTGGCGCCTTGATGCCTAAGATCGCCGATTCACCAGTGTTGCCTAATTATCACAAATATCAACAAAACGTTTTAATAATCGTAAATTTTTTTTAACCCTTGCGACTCGAATAAATTGTAGAATAGTTATTACAACCTCTACATTGTTTAAAGATTACCAATTTAAAAAAATTGAATGTATGTTCAACGTAATACCAATAAAATATATTTTATAATGGGGCACTGAAAAAAACTTAACTTACTTTAATCATAATTGATAACGATTTTTTTTTTATGTTTATCACTATCCCAATCGCTGCCCCCTCCAGTACGCATTTATTAATTATCCAGTAGCAAAAAACAAATAAATATTTAGCATATAATACAAACTTAAAAACGAACATTTCGTGACCATGGTTGTATGCAATCGTTTTATGTATAATGCATGACGAATTGTTTTTCAAAGTTGGGTTTGAATTTATTCAGTTTGCATCAATATCTACTTTCTTAAGGTCTTTTATAAAAAGGAAACATCAATTTTTACTGACTTAACAATTGACATCTAGGCAGAGGTGCCCAGAAGGGGGTTTCATGATATAAATTGCGCCATCTAAACTTATGAGAAGGCAACATTTAAAAAAAAAAAAAGTGAATTTTCAAAATGAAAAGTTTCAAACCAAGAGACAAGTGGAAGCATGAAACAGATTGCAGAGTGTGTAATTGTATATAATATACGAATATTTAAATTCTACTTTTCTTTGCAATGGTTTTAAGAAGAAGAGAGCAATAAAATATCTTGGGAGGTCTATGCGCCATCCACCTTGGGGGGATAGGCATCCCTTGCATCTTGGGACCTTCTATTTGTTTGTGAATCCTGAGATGAGATCTCTAAGAATAAGGGAGGCCCAGTTTTTCTTTGTTTCGATCAGATGATAATGTAATTATTTGGCTTTTTAAAATTGCCAGTTTTTTAAATTATATTTAATTTTAAATATCAGTTACCTATATATATATATATATATATATATATATATATATATATATAATATATATATATATATATATATATATATATATATATATATAGGTAACTGATATTTAAAATTAAATATAATTTAAAAAACTGGCAATTTTAAAAAGACAAATAATTACATTATCATCTGATCATATATCATATATCTGATCATATATCTGATATATATAAGAGTAAGTTTTCAACGGAAATACACGTTT